GAAATGTTTTGTGCCATTAACCCAATTTTCCAATGTACTGCAGCATAATTTTTGCAACATAAAATAGTATTTGATTTATGGTTTAATCCAAATATGAAACTACATTTTAAGGAGAAATCCTAACTCATATGCCAGGACTGGAAAGGATCAGAAGGAATCTCCTAAATCGGTTATAAGGTTTTTACGCTCTGCCAAACATAATCCTTAAAGAGGGGGCAACACTTTCTACCATGTAGTGTGGAAGCTTGCTCAGGAAAAGAAACTGGAACTGGAACCAGAGAGGACATTGCCCTGAGGCACTGGATATACACTGGCAACCAACTGGTTTTCTTGCGCTTCGTTTTGTAAGGGTAATCACCAAGACTCAGTCCCGCAGTCGCACTGACTTCTTCCCAACCAAATAGAAAGGATACTTTCCACACAGCTCTACTGTAAAAGAACCTAATGAAACCGAGTCCCACTTCTACCCTAATTTTTCCCTTTTTATCAGACTGCGCCTTCTTGACGTGCCTGAACCTCGAGAAGGAGGTAAGCTCTATTTTGGTATCAGGTTTTCCAGTTAAGTGCTTGGATTTCTAGATTTGTCTGCAGCGTCTTTGTTGGCGGTGATAATTCAATTCCGCTGGCAGCAGGGATGGGATGGCTACCTTGGCATCGCCAAACGCCCAGAAGAAATCTCGCAGAACAGCAATGGATCCGCACAGCTCCATGGCGAGCTGTAGCTGCATTATTAATATTTGTATTATCAAAGTGCTCTTTGAAAAAAAAAGCACAGAACGGAAAGAGTCCCTGACCAAGAGAACTTGCAAAGAGAGGTAAGAGGGAGATGACAGGAGAGCTGAGGGAGGCACTGCCGGGAGGCTGGGAAGCAGGTTCAGCACAGAAATCCTAATTGTGCCTCCGGGCACCCTGCCCCAAGCCTGGGGCATTAACTCTCGAACATCTACCTCCAGCAGGGGCTTTCTCTCAACTGCCTCCTTTTATTCCACTCATTCTGAAACACCGCAAAAGCTTTTTGGGGTGAGGATAAATTATCCAATAGATTTGAACATCTTACAGCTTTGGTATTGCCTGGATAGGTCAGGCTTTTTGCCATTCTGCCTTAATGCACAATATATCCGAGTCTCTCTTCTAAGGCAAATATTTAGGTCATTTCTATGCAAGAGTAAGCGGAAAGATATGTCCCTGTATTTTTTGAAATTTATATCGAAGTGCTACGTCTTACCAAGGGAACTTCTGATTTCTTTCCACATATGCTACCCCGAGCGAAAAGACACTTGATGGCTTTGAAACAACCCTAGTAATTTAAGCTGCGCAGACTAATGCGGACGGATTTGTAATACAGCGAATAAACAATTAGCCCTTAGGGAAGAAATCTGTTATTAAGCAAAATTAAACGAAACATGAGGCCACCAATGCGCTAAAGACGTAATGGCAAAGTGACAGCACTGACTTGGGAGCATGGAAGAAGACTCATCTGACCAAATGCAAACACTGATTTATTATCTGAGTCAGTCTAGAAGCATTTTATTAACAGAAATAAACACGTATTTTTAAGGTGCGATTCACTTCACCAGCATCTGTCTGCCTACAGATGAGCTATTTTTCTATTTGCCTCCTGTGAAGAATTAGAGGACTAGCTCTGATCCAGCTGTCTACATTATAAACCCCCAAATGTGGGCAAGATGACAAGACTGTGCAAGTGATGGAGACTAAAATGCTCTGAATTTATTCTTTCTGGCTAAATCCCTTCCATGGCCAGAATGTGATTTGGCACAGATGACACACGAAGAGCTGTTGTTGTCTAGTTCTTCAAGGACTCTAACGCTGTAAGACTGCAGATTCAAGCTTGGCTTGACCATTTCAACGCATGCATGTGTCGCCTTTGTGAGTAGAGTAAGAAAAAAATATATATCAACCCCCACCCCAGTAATGGATGAGGGCAATACAAAACTTTCTTCGTGGCAACTATTAAAGAATAATTACAGGCATAGAGAAGGATTAAGGCTTGCATGAAGCTAGTGAAGAGATCTCCACCGTGGCTTCAGTACAACATCTCTTTCTTCAACATCTCTTTCTTGGAAAGTGCACAAAGGACAAGAGGAGATCATGCAGTCAATTAACCAGAGAAAATAATTTCACCGTGTTACAAATTTTTCATTTTGAAAACGCGATCAGCTCTCAAGGAAATGCAGCAAGAGCACAGACTAGGTAAATGAAGGGAAAGGTAGACCAGCCCACGGCCTGGGCTACCAGCACTGTGCAAACTGTCAAGAGGAAAAGAATCAGATTTAGTTCCACCCCCGTCATTAGCTGCTTCTCCCTTGGAAAAAATGTCAGTGCTTTACAGTCATGAAAATTTCACAAACAGTACCTGTAACCAAAAAAGATATTAAATTAGTAGACAGTCATGGGCTATTAAGATAAAATTCCTCCGTGGTATCTAGATAGATTCTCTCTGTATGTCCATTTAAATGAATTATTTGTACTGCCCAAGCTCTTGCTCTTCTAAAAGACACGAGGAAAATAAAACGGAACATTGTCAGAGCGTAATTGTCCCTCCCGCCTGACAGGCATTAGGAGAGAAAAAAAGCTACTGGAAAACAAATGTTAAGATGACATTACCAAGCTTATTTTCAAAGTGGGAGGCAATTAGAGGATGAAAATGTTCTCTTCCATTATTTCTATTATACCAGAGAAAGATAAAGTAAATAAATATGAAGATGGATGGTTACTGTTGACAGTCACAACTACTCAGTAAGCTACACTGAAGAACTGTGTTCTATCAGCCCACATTTGCAACAGGAAAACCCAGCAATTGGGCAGGCTAAAAATCCGAAGCAGTTTCAAGTTGTTTAGGTCTTTGCTTCTTTTCTTCTTCTTTTTTTTTTTTTTAATAGAAGAACGTGTGGTGAAACTGGCATGAATGTCATCTGTTGTTTAACAAAACAAATAATTGATACTCAAGCTCACGTCCCACCACTCTGCCTCATCTTTAGGGGTGCCGCAGACACTCCTTTTAGAGGGTTTGCTTTGGACTTGGCCTCTTCTGAGGTCAATAAGTAACACTGATAAAAAAATTACCACTTAGCCTTACGACAGCAATTTTCCTAAGTGCTCAGCTCCAATTTACAGCCTGGAAGGAAGTGAGCAGTTTAGCTGAAGGTCCAAATATTAACTGTTCTGACCACTTGACAGCTCTCATTTGGGTATATAAGGAAGGCATTCACTTGAAAACTTGATCCTACACTGTCTAGATTGCTAGTATTCAAAACGAAAGCTTAGCAGAAATGAGTTGACGTTGAGTACCAAAATCATGCAAACTCTACATTTAGCAGCCTACTTCCACACTTGCAGCGCACCGTTCTCTGTCACAGTCAATGCAGCAGAGCTCAGTAAAACTTTCTTGTTTAATAGGACGTCACTTATCTGCAAATAAACTTTACAATAACAGATTTTCAACCGCCGCAAATTGATTTCATTTCACTTCTTCAACATGTCATTGTGCCACAGAGGAGAACGCCTTTGATATTAATAGTAATGAAGATGCATTGCATCTGACAGCCCTAACAACATGTTTAATAGAACATTTTAACTTAAAGGAGATGAAGAATCAGAAGGGAACGCTTTTTTAGATTCCACTGTTTCAGAACACAGCTCTGTTTAGATGAAATTATCCTACTTGAAAGTTATTTCCACTTTGATATTATTTCTATCGAGTTTGACAGGTTTATTTTGGGAAGACAGCGTTCTGACATACCGCAAACGATTCTCCCAAAACAATGCAGCTCATCCTTTTCTATTGGCTTTAATTAAATTTGTCTCAACAGCCTCCTGTTTCTGGTAAGTAATTCTGGCAATTAATCACCCTCACTTATGCTAGAATGACAATCCTAAGGTGTCACTCACAAAGAGAAACAATAGGAAACATGCAGTTTCAAACAGGTCCTGCACAACACAGGGAGAGAGTTACTCAGACTTTATTTTACCTTTTCTTTTATCTGGGAAACTGCTGCTTCCGCAGAACAACAGGAGTCTGGCCATCGATGCGTCATTTCTTTCCTGTGATTGGAGTTTGCACTTAGGAGACTCTCCAAGCATGCTCACCCACCTGTCTCAAACGCGGCCATCGTGTTCTACACAGAACCTCCATTTATTGCCACCTTTCATCCAGCTCTCTCCCATGACATTTGTTTGCAGAGAACGTTTTGGAAAAGAGTGTATGCCGCAATTTGAAATTAAAGCGCAACTCCAAGCTCAACCCTATTGTTAAAGGAAGCAGCATATGCAGGGCTACTGCAGGATGACATATACATCAACATAATAAAACCAAAAACCTTGTTGAAAATGAAATGAAAATGGCCATCAACTGCATGCAGTGCTGTCACTGCCTTTCCTTTTTCCGGCTCATCTTGCCGTGATCAAAGTTCTAACAGAACCTTCTCCCTTATTTTTCACACCAACACGGCAACAATCAGCATCTTATACATTTTTAGCCTCTAGACCAAGAGCAGTTGTGCAAGGTGACCTCTACCTACCTGCTTTGTGACGACACTCTTGACCAACAGAAAGGGAGACACAGAACAAGAATAAGGTTAAGAAGTTACTCCGACCGACCCCAAACCACCACCTCGCTTGAAAAGCACAACGGAGTGAAAAAATGATCTTCAGGAACGTGCAACTTCAAACATTAAAATGGAAAACATCAAGTCGTTCAGCGACAGGAGAAGCTTTTAGAATAGGAACACAAATCTTCCTCGCAAGCAAGGGCCATAAAACCGAGGTAAGAAAGGTGAAATGCTGCAATCAGCTCCTGACTCCCGCAACCTGTTTCAAACAGCTAATAATCCAGCCTATTCCTCAAAATTTATGTTGACAGCTACTTTTACGCTCCTGCTCTGACATCCTGGGAGGTTTTCTAATGCCACTGAGGTACATGCTTGCACAGAATCTCTCATCAGACTAGAGAGTTAAAGCATTAGGTTGTGCACATACTTTACCTGTACATCGTTGGTGTTCATTCTTGTTCCCTCCTTCCCAACGAAAATGTCATCTATGTCAACCAGAATGTACCTATCCAAGGACAGTCTGAGCTTCTTTCCAGAGAGGAAAGAGATGGCATCTATGAAAATCAGCTTGTGCAGCCAAAAATTCAAGTTATTGCCAAAAAGCACTCGCTGAATCCCATCATGGAGCCCCAGGTCATGAATTACCGTGGCATAGAGAGTGCTCAGAGCAGCAGGTGGTGAAAGGTTTTCTGGCGTCTTCACTTTTGCAAATATCACAGGTTGATAAGCCGTATGATTAATCTGGAAAACCGCCCAGTCGTTTCCAAGCAAGGGACCTTTCTCAAGCTTAGAAGATTTCGTCACGTGGAGCAGCGGGGAATGAGGGTTAATGCAGCAGTCCTTAATACCCAGATTGCTGTGGACATGGAAAGGAAAGCCCTTCAGCTGAAAGCTCTGCAAGCTGTTCTCATTGCCTTTGTGAAATCCAATGACACCTACACCATACTCTATACAGTACTTATCTAGAAGGCCTCTGTTCCACGAGTCCATGTTCACGTACTTCAGAATATTTTCGTATATTATGAGAGCGTATTTGCCTCTGTTTCTGTCTGTGAGGACCGGGAGGTCACCTTTCCCAGGGGCGATCTCAATGTGAAACTGAAACCGGCTAGATTCTAAAACGGTTACGATATCCTGGCCTAAGGTCGAGTACTGGCTTTCCACGAACACCAGCACCACGAGCTCTGTCCTCGGGGGATCGGCGGGCTTCGCCGTCTTCGTCTCCGTCAGCTTGTAGGGCAACAGCTGAGGATCACCACACTCCACTTCGGAAGAGACTTCAGAAAGTTCGTTTTCCTGTTTGTAGCCGTTGTACAAGTAGTACGCCGAAATAACTATGCTCACCATGCAAAAAGTGGCCAGCAAAATGACTGTCCGTTGAAAATGTCTGTGAAGTTTCACGACAAAACTCATGTTGTTTACTTGCCTCAGCAGCGTTAAAAACAAACACAGGCTCTCAACAATTTGTTCCAGCCCTCTGAAATATTTATGTCACCATTGCAGCACGTACATCTATCTTCCACAAGGCTTTATGGAAGGTATTGTCTGGAAGAAAAGAAAAAAACCCCAGAGATTTAATCAAGGCGTTATGATTGTGATGTATCATCATGGTTAAAATAAGGGGGGGAAAAATATCACTGCCCAGCAGAGGTTTGGGAGTGAGCGGCTCAAAACTTTGATAGCTGCTTTTGGAAGTTCTGCACTCCTAGTTATTTCTTCCTTCTTAAGAAAACATGCACATTTTAACTGTTGAATAGCTACATTCTGATATACTCAATATTACACGTATTGTAGGAGTATTTTTAAAACAAAACTACACTTACAAATAGCATTTTACTGGACTGTGTGCTGTTTTCCAAACTGTTGAAACCAATTGGTATTGCATTAAAAAAAACATAAAATAATGCAGCTCTTATATTAGAGGAAGGAGAGTAATAAATCAAAAGCTAACTTAAGAGGCAGATCACCTAAGGATGTACTTAAGCTTTACCTTGCACCTAAGGAAAGCAGTCATTTTTCAAGCCAACAGCACAACCGCGGCCAAAAGTTTCAAGTACAGAACTGAACGACGCGACAAATGAACAGAAAAACTTGAGCCACCCAGGCACACAGGCTCATTAACCGGCGTTAGACAAAAATAACATAATCCCACTTTTTCAGATCTAGAGACACGCGTCGGAAAAGAAGTTACAGAAAGTGTAGAGACCAAACGACAATCTGGGAAGTACCTTGACAAGAACTCAAAAAACATTTCTAAGTATCGAGATGTCTGCTCCTTGTCACACTAGCTTCAAGAATAACAGTTCAGGGAGCAGAGGAGAGATATCAAAAGTGTAAGAAGTCAGGTGCCCTAGGAGGAGCCCCATCCTGAATGAGCAAAGCCAGAGATGTTTCCAGACAGGCGATTTTTCGTTGCACACAGAAAGGGCTCTCCACATTTTGTGTTTCCAATTCAGCTGCCTGACTGCCAACAAACTCCTAATTTTAGGGGCTAAAATGAATACTAACTGCGTTCTGTAGAAAAGCCGTACTTGCATGATATTTGAGAGAAAACAAGTGACGGTAACAAGTGAGTTGAGTTCTCTTACATCCTTTTCTAGTCCAGACACAAGAAACACTGTCAAACAAAAAGCTGCAGTGGCCTAAGCTCCTGGTAAGAAAGGGCTGATGAGACAGAGCTGTTCCAATGACACACGACAGACAGGCTGCAACCTAAGGGCTGCCAAAGCAGGCACCTGAAACTTTTGCAGCAAGGACACAGTCCCTGATGCCATTCCGTGGAGCAGAAAATCTGGAGCCAGACCCAAAACCCGCTTTTTCCTCAAGAGAACCGCTGTCACTTGATCCTTGGCTCCTGCTAGCAGGTGCCTCGTGGGGCTGCGCATAGCTGCCGTAAGGAGGAGTGGATGGAAACGCCCTGACACACCCTCTCTGGGCAGCCTGTGCCAGGGCTCCGTCACCCTCATGGTAAAGAAATTTCTCCTCAGGTTGAGGTGGAACTTGCTATGTTCTAACTTAAACCCATTACTTCTTGTTCTATTGCTGGGCACCACCAAGAAGAGATATTGACACACGTTAATAAAGACCCCTCTCAGTCGTCTCCTTTCGAGGCTAAACAGCCCCAGTGCTCTCAGTCTTTCTTCACAGGAGAGACGTTCAAGTCCCTTGTAGTCCTCGTAGCTCTGGAGCACCACGCCGAAATAAGTCATTGCACAGCAATATTGAGATCTTCCAGGAGCATCACCTTCAACGCACTGTGGGACCTACCACCAAGACCACTGCAGTGACCTTCAGCACAACTTCAGATGTAGCTTCAGGGAAAACAGTCTCTGCCCACTGCCACTTCCATCGGGAAAACCAGACAGAAAGCATATCAGCACTGGGTAAGTCATTAGAAGCAGCATTTTAGAAAAGGATGCTACTTACAGAGTCTTACTTCCACGATAAAGTAATAGGAAATTTCACAAAAGAATGAAGAAATCCTTACAGCCTGAACCACAATACAAAAAATTAAATTAAATCCAATTAAAATCCAGGTACAAGAAAAAATCTTAAAGAAAAATTATTACCTACAAGTCTAGAAACTCTTCGCAAGAGTTCAAGCTTGTCAGTATTGTGAAAAAACACAAAAAAAGACTGTCAGTTAACATACTCAGTCTTAGCTCACGGATGTTGATGGAGTCGTGGGGACCTGCATGAAATGAGGATACGGTCCCACCTCTCTCTCGAGCACTTGAGAAGAGGTATCAGACTTGACACGAATCCAATATTCCACAAAGGTGATGCTGAAAGAACTGTTACCTATGAAATAATTCATACAGTGTTCTTCCACCACCTGGAGCAATAAAAGCTACCACATTGTTATTTATCTAGAACCTTATTATTTTAGAAGAATCTACATTTGGTCTCCTACAGAACTTTGCATTTTCATGCCGCCATCTATCATTTCAGACCAGAAACTTCTACCTGCGTTGTTCCAAGTATGAGGTGTCCAAATGCCTCCTTAATGTGAAAATTAGCATCTTTGGATAGGGCAAATTTTAGTTTTAACTTGTGCACTCACAATGGAGGGCAAGATCTTGGTAAGGGAAAGTCGAGTCATGGGAACAGGTTCTGCGCTACATTCTGAACACAGAAAGGCTCAACAGCATTCTCATCTACCGTAGCAATCATTTCTGCAGCCCGGGACTAGTTGACATCAAAACCTTGTGGGTACAGGAAATAAGTATCACCTTATTAGATGGAAAATTTGCAATTCTAAGCAGTACAGCCGGGTAGTCACAACTGCAGGTATCCTCAGACAGCGAGCAGATGGATTAGAGCAGAGATCTTAAGCTGCAGGTTTGTTTGGTGGAGTTTTCTTCCCATTTGTTTGGGTTTTTAATTCACTAGCAAGGGAGTATTGAGGAGAGAACAAATCCCATGATGAACTCCAAAGAGCTGAACTGCACCGCAAGGAGCCTGGTGAGTCCCTACCATTTGCAGCTTTCTTTGAGTCTGTTGTTTCTTTGCTAAGCAAAAAAGACTAAATTCTTGGCTTCTACAAACCATGTCAGCACAAAAACCTTAATGGGAATACTTACATGAGGCAACCCTGGGTAGGGACTGAGCCTATTAATGAGATGCAAGCAAACGAACATAAAGAAGTCTTGATTTGAGGGCATTCCGGATGGAAAATTTACATAATAAATACACTAAAAGCAGCCTCCCCAGAAGTCTTTGCAGTCACCCTGGAACCCAGGGACTGGGCTCAGACCCCAGGCAGCCTCTGCTCTGTCAGTGCCATGGCAACCCCGCAAACACTGAGCCCTCCTCGGGAGACTTTTGTGCACTAAGACTTTCTTGGTGAGCACAGCTCCTTTCCATGGGCTTTGTATGATTGGCAGCAAAAACGTCCTATTTTCTGGGCTCAGGAGCTGAAAAGAAATGTGGTTCTGACCATCAGTACTTACATATTCTGAAACTGAAAAAAAAAAAAAATAAAAATCCCTCTAATGATATAAATTGCAGGTTCACATCATCATGCAGTAATGAATAGATGCTCAAATGGGAAACCAGGCACCCACGTAGAGACAAACACATAAAACTGCACACAATTTAACAAAAAAAAACCAAAACAAAACACAAAGTTATATCATGAATATAAGATTCTTAAAATGTCAAGAAATATTCTCCTTGAATTCAGTTGTATTATAAACTACCAAGACTAAGACAATGGGTTGAGCTAAAAATCCACTAGCAAATGAAAAATTGCTCTCAAAAACCACATTTTCCCAGACCAGTAAGAAAAAATAAATCTGGTTTAGTCTTACCTCAAGCCTGTGCAAGAGCAACTGTTTACTGTGAGCCTTGCCGAGAAACAATAAAGTTGTGTCACACATATACACAGACCCTAAAAAATATTGTTCAAGGGTAATTGAAATCCTTTTCATCCTCCAAAAAAAATGGAGCTAATTCCAAACTGATTAGTCACTGATATTATTGAGCTATATTACATTACACACACCTGGACATACTTGTAAATATCTTTCTCCTCTTCTATTAAACCCTAGAATTATATTCTGGTTCTGTCCTTTACCAAACTGGATGCTACCGCTGTGCTAGTGATGTACTCCAGATAAATTAAGTGAAGGACAGGCTAAAAAATAGACATATTGCTCAGCACGTTATTATGGGCATTTAAATCCCCACTGCTTAGAATGTTGTTTAATGGCTTTGAAGACGAAAGCCACTCTGAAACGTGACCTTAAAACAAGCATTCTGAAGTCAGGACACAAGTGTCACTGAAACAGAAATGTCTGGATATATGAACAGTGTGGTAAGAAGTAGAAAACATCCAAACCTGAGATGTCTGGTAGGGCTCAGATTTTTAATTCAACTAGGAAAATAGGAAGCTGATGACCAAATACAGAGAAACCGTATTTACAACATTAATCCGAGGTACTGAAGCAATGACAACTCAGACAGCCAAATCCAGGCTGAGAACAAGATCTCACAACTGCATGGAGAGAAGACATTTTCAACCTGGAAAGATGAGACAGGACCTGTCAAGGGAAGTCGCTGAGACCCTTCAGCATCACGTAACAAACCCTGTGATGTGTGAGTCCTGAAGGGCTTACATGCTCCCACAGATGCTTAAAAAACAAAGAGACTTGCTCAGGCAGAGGAAAAATTCTGGGACACAGACAGGCTTTTCCAAGTCTTTGGGGCAAGCAGTTCCCAGTTTTTGTTGTACCTCTGCTATCCTTAGCTCCATGCCGTACTGCTTCACCCATTACTAGAGAACCTTACAGGAGAGGAATTCGTGCATCAGAACCTGTCATTAGAAGGTATTTATAAAGATTAAACATATGGTAGTTTAAAATACTTTAAAAGAAGGCTTAGAGGACTTGAAGAGATTACAGAACTTGGGT